GGCACAGCGAGTTACAATCCATAGCTCACTCGGGCACAGCGAGTTACAATCCATAGCTCACTCGGGCACAGCGAGTTACAATCCATAGCTCACTCGGGCACAGCGAGTTACAATCCATAGCTCAGATAGGCACAGCGAGTTACAATCCATAGCAGATAGGCTGTTGCAATTGGTAGCCCGGATAAGCACCGGTCAAGACAGCCATCACAATTGATAACACAGATAAGCATTTATTAACCCAGCAATTAGAATCCATAGCACAATAGGTTGTTGCAATTGGTAGCACGAATAAGCATCAGTTAGACAGCCGTTACTATTCATAGCTAAGATAAGCTATTACAATTCACAGCACTTATAAGCATAAAATATAGCTATTACATTTGATAGCACTTATAAGCTGATGTTAATTAATGTAGCTATTACAATTCATAGCACACATAAGCTGATGTTAATGAACGGAATTAGATCATAGCGCAAACAAGAATTAGTTGATTAAAATAGCTATTAAAAATCACAGCACGTATAAGCATTTGAGTGGGTGAGGTGGTGAGTAGGTGGGTGAGTTGGTGGGTGTAGTGGGTGAGTAGGTGGGTGAGTGGGTGGATGAGTAGGTAGGTGAGTGGGTGAGTGAGTGGGTGGATGAGTGGATAGGTGAGTGGGTAGGTGAGTGGGTGAGTGAGTGGGTGGGCGAGTTGGTGAGTGGGTGGGTGAGTTGGTGGGTGAGTGGATGAGTGAGTGATCACATTTCCCAGTGCACACTAGCAGCACGCGGTCCACTGCATTACAATTCACAGCGCGCATAAGCTACTGCCTTCCCTCCCTCCCAGTTAGAAACCCCAGCGTAGATAAGCGAGCGAGATTACAAATCACAGAGCACATTGGCGTAGAGCGGAGGGGTGATCTGTGGGCTGCTGGACACCATCCTCGGACCTCTTTTCCCCTAGGTCGACTCAGCCCGAAATGGTGAGGAACCTGTTCCAGTGCATTGTGGGTGTGTCTCTGTGTGTGTTTCTGTGTGCGTGTGTCTGTGTGTGTCTCTGTGTGTGTCTGTGTGTGTCTCTGTGTGAGTCTGTGTGTGTCTCTGTGTGTGTCTGTGTGTGTCTCTGTGTGAGTCTGTGTGTGTGTCTGTGTGTGTGTCTGTGTGTGTCTGTGTGTGTGTCTGTGTGTGTCTGTGTGTCTGTGTGTCTGTGTGTGTCTGTGTGTCTGTGTGTCTCTGTGTGTGTGTGTCTGTGTGTGTCTCTGTGTGTGTGTTTCTGTGTCTGTGTGTGTCTGTGTGTCTCTGTGTGTGTCTCTGTGTGTCTGTGTGTGTCTGTGTGTGTGTCTGTGTCTGTGTGTGTCTGTGTGTGTGTGTCTGTGGGGAGTGGTGGGTGTAGTGGTTAGCGCTACGCTGCGCTACGAACCTGGCTACCCGGGTTCGATTCCCGCTCACGGCCAACACCTGCGACAGTGATTATCTGAACGGGTCCTGGGCCTCCCCCTAGGTCGACTCAGCCTGAATTGGGTGCCTGGTGTAGCAGTGTAGCGTAGTGAACATCGCTAGCACTGGGGAGACAAAGGCGGCCGGGCGTGGTGCTGGTCACCCACCCCCTCGTGTGCGCTGCCGGCCTTCATAGGTGCTGCTACTCACAGCACTTGCCCCTACAGTCCGTTAGAGGCTACCTGGGGGAGCTTTGTCTGTGTCTGTGTAACGGCACTTGCCCCTACAGCCCTGCTAGAGGCTACCTGGGGGAGCTTTGTCTGTGTGTGTGTAACAGCACTTGCCCCTACAGCCCTGCTAGAGGCTACCTGGGGTAGCTTTGTCTGTGTGTGTGTAACGGCACTTGCCCCTACAGCCCTGCTAGAGGCTACCTGGGGGAGCTTTGTCTGTGTGTGTGTAACAGCACTTGCCCCTACAGCCCTGCTAGAGGCTACCTGGGGTAGCTTTGTCTGTGTGTGTGTAACGGCACTTGCCCCTACAGCCCTGCTAGAGGCTACCTGGGGTAGCTTTGTCTGTGTGTGTGTAACGGCACTTGCCCCTACAGCCCTGCTAGAGGCTACCTGGGGGAGCTTTGTCTGTGTGTGTAGCGGCACTTGCCCCTACAGCCCTGCTAGAGGCTACCTGGGGTAGCTTTGTCTGTGTGTGTGTAACGGCACTTGCCCCTATAGCCCTGCTAGAGGCTACCTGGGGGAGCTTTGTCTCTGTGTGTAACAGCACTTGCCCCTACAGTCTGTTACAGGCTACCTGGGGTAGCTTTGTCTGTGTGTGTGTAACAGCACTTGCCCCTACAGCACTGCTACAGGCTACCTGGGGGAGCTTTGTCTGTGTGTGTTAAAGTCAGGCACTGAGAGAGCTAAGGGAGAGTTAAGGGAGAGTTAAGGGAGAGTTAAGTGGAGAGTTAAGGGAGAGTTAAGGGAGAGTTAAGGGAGAGTTAAGGGAGAGTTAAGGGAGAGTTAAGGGAGAGTTAAGGGAGAGTTAAGGGAGAGTTAAGGGAGAGTTAAGGGAGAGCTAAGGGAGAGTTAAGGGAGAGTTAAGGGAGAGTTAAGGGAGAGTTAAGGGAGAGTTAAGGGAGAGTTAAGGGAGAGCTAAGGGAGAGTTAAGGGAGAGTTAAGGGAGAGTTAAGGGAGAGTTAAGGGAGAGCTAAGGGAGAGTTAAGGGAGAGTTAAGAGAGAGCTAAGGGAGAGTTAAGGGAGAGTTAAGAGAGAGTTAAGGGAGAGTTAAGGGAGAGTTAAGGGAGAGTTAAGGGAGAGCTAAGGGAGAGTTAAGGGAGAGTTAAGGGAGAGTTAAGGGAGAGTTAAGGGAGAGTTAAGGGAGAGTTAAGGGAGAGCTAAGGGAGAGTTAAGGGAGAGTTAAGAGAGAGCTAAGGGAGAGCTAAGCGAGAGTTAAGGGAGAGTTAAGGGAGAGCTAAGGGAGAGTTAAGTGGAGAGTTAAGAGAGAGTTAAGGGAGAGTTAAGGGAGAGTTAAGGGAGAGTTAAGGGAGAGCTAAGGGAGAGTTAAGGGAGAGTTAAGAGAGAGCTAAGGGAGAGCTAAGCGAGAGTTAAGGGAGAGTTAAGGGAGAGAGATATAAGAGAGTTAAGGGAGAGTCAAGGGAGAGCTAAGGGAGAGTCAAGGGAGAGCTAAGGGAGAGCTAAGGGAGAGCTAAGCGAGAGTTAAGGGAGAGTTAAGAGAGAGTTAAGGGAGAGTTAAGAGAGAGTTAAGGGAGAGTTAATGGAGAGTTAAGGGAGAGTTAAGAGAGAGTTAATGGAGAGTTAAGAGAGAGCTAAGGGAGAGTTAATGGAGAGTTAAGGGAGAGTTAAGAGAGAGCTAAGGGAGAGAGATATAAGAAAGATATGAGAGTTAAGGGAGAGATATAAGAGAGATATGAGAGTTAAGAGAGAGAGTTAAGGGAGAGCTAAGGGAGAGCTAAGGGAGAGAGATATAAGAGAGATATAAGAGAGCTAAGGGAGAGTCAAGGGAGAGTTAATGGAGAGTTAAGAGAGAGTTAAGGGAGAGCTAAGGGAGAGAGATATAAGAAAGATATGAGAGTTAAGGGAGAGATATAAGAGAGATATGAGAGTTAAGAGAGAGAGTTAAGGGAGAGCTAAGGGAGAGCTAAGGGAGAGAGATATAAGAGAGATATAAGAGAGCTAAGGGAGAGTCAAGGGAGAGTTAATGGAGAGTTAAGAGAGAGTTAAGGGAGAGCTAAGGGAGAGAGATATAAGAAAGATATGAGAGTTAAGGGAGAGATATAAGAGAGATATGAGAGTTAAGAGAGAGAGTTAAGGGAGAGTTAAGGGAGAGCTAAGGGAGAGTTAAGGGAGAGAGATATAAGAGAGTTAAGGGAGAGTTAATGGAGAGTTAAGGGAGAGTTAAGAGAGAGTTAATGGAGAGTTAAGGGAGAGTTAATGGAGAGCTAAGGGAGGGTTAAGAGAGAGTTAAGGGAGAGAGTTAAGGGAGAGTTAAGGGAGAGTTAAGGGAGAGTTAATGGAGAGTTAAGGGAGAGTTAAGAGAGAGTTAATGGAGAGTTAAGGGAGAGTTAAGAGAGAGCTAAGGGAGAGCTAAGGGAGAGTTAAGCGAGAGTTAAGAGAGAGTTAAGAGAGAGTTAATGGAGAGTTAAGGGAGAGTTAAGAGAGAGTTAATGGAGAGTTAAGGGAGAGTTAAGAGAGCGTTAAGAGAGAGTTAAGTGGAGAGTTAAGGGAGAGTTAAGAGAGAGTTAAGGGAGAGTTAAGGGAGAGTTAAGTGGAGAGTTAAGAGAGAGTTAAGAGAGAGTTAAGGGAGAGTTAAGGGAGAGTTAAGGGAGAGTTAAGGGAGAGCTAAGTGGAGAGTTAAGAGAGAGTTAAGAGAGAGTTAAGAGAGAGTTAAGTGGAGAGTTAAGGAAGAGTTAAGAGAGAGCTAAGGGAGAGCTAAGGGAGAGTTGAGAGAGAGAGTTAATGGAGAGTTAAGGGAGAGTTGAGAGAGAGAGTTAAGGGAGAGTTAAGGGAGAGTTAAGGGAGAGTTAAGGGAGAGCTAAGGGAGAGCTAAGGGAGAGTTAAGAGAGAGTTAAGAGAGAGCTAAGGGAGAGTTAAGCGAGAGCTAAGGGAGAGCTAAGGGAGAGTTAAGGGAGAGAGTTAAGGGAGAGTTAAGGGAGAGAGTTAAGGGAGAGCTAAGGGAGAGAGATATAAGAGAGTTAAGCGAGAGTTAAGGGAGAGAGTTAAGGGAGAGCTAAGGGAGAGAGATATAAGAGAGTTAAGCGAGAGTTAATGGAGAGTTAAGGGAGAGTTAAGAGAGAGAGATATAAGAGAGATATGAGAGTTAAGAGAGAGTTAATGGAGAGTTAAGAGAGAGTTAAGAGAGAGTTAAGAGAGAGTTAAGAGAGAGTTAAGAGAGAGTTAAGAGAGAGTTAATGGAGAGTTAAGGGAGAGTTAAGAGAGAGAGATATAAGAGAGATATGAGAGTTAAGAGAGAGTTAATGGAGAGTTAAGGGAGAGTTAAGGGAGAGTTAATGGAGAGTTAAGAGAGAGTTAAGAGAGAGTTAAGAGAGAGTTAAGAGAGAGAGATATAAGAGAGATATAAGAGAGCTAAGGGAGAGTTAAGAGAGAGTTAAGAGAGAGTTAAGAGAGAGCTAAGGGAGAGCTAAGCGAGGGTTAGACCCAGCCCAGGAGCTGCAGGGCGGAGTAGACGGCGCTGATGAGGAGGCCAGAGAGGCCGACGTAGCCATAGGCACCACGCAACCTTTTGTCTGGGTCTACACAGGGAGACACGGGGGGGGGGGGGGGGGGGGGGGGGGGAGGGTGGGGGGGTGGGTGAGTCAGTGAGTGGGTGGGTGGGTGAGTGAGTGGGTGGAGGGGTGAGTGGGAGAGTGAGTGGGTGAGTGAGTGAGTGGGTGAATGAGTCAGAAGGCGAGTGAGTAGGTGAATGAGTGAGTGAGTGAATGGGTGAGTAGGTGAGTGAGTAAGTCAGTGGGTGAGTGAGTGGGTGGGTGAGTGGGTGGGTGAGTGGCTGGGTGAGTGGGTGGGTGAGTGGGTGGGTGGGTGAGTGGGTGGGTGAGTGAGTGAGTGGGTGGGTGCGTGGGTGAGTGAGTGGGTGGGTGAGTGGGTGGGTGAGTGGGTGGGTGAGTGGGTGAGTGAGTGAGTGGGTGGGTGAGTCAGTGAGTGGGTGAGTGAGTGAATGGGTGAGTAGGTGGGTGAGTGAGTGGGTGGGTGAGTGAGTGGGTGAGTAGGTGAGTGAGTGAGTGGGTGAATGAGTCAGAAGGCGAGTAAGTAGGTGAATGAGTGAGTGAGTGAATGGGTGAGTAGGTGAGTGAGTAAGTCAGTGGGTGAGTGAGTGGGTGAGTGAGTCAGTGGGTGAGTGAGTAGGTGGGTGAGTGGGTGGGTGAGTGGGTGGGTGAGTGAGTGGGTGGGTGAGTGAGTGGGTGGGTGGGTGGGTGAGTGGGTGAGTGGTTGAGTGAGTGGGTGAGTGAGTGGGTGGGTGAGTGAGTGAGTGGGTGAGTGGGTGGGTGAGTGGGTGAGTGAGTGGGTGAGTGGGTGGGTGAGTGAGTGGATGAGTGAGTGGGTGAGTGAGTGGGTGGTTGAGTGAGTGGGTGGGTGGGTGAGTGGGTGAGTGAGTGAGTGGGTGAGTGGGTGAGTGGGTGGGTGGGTGAGTGGGTGAGTGGGTGAGTGAGTGGGTGGGTGGGTGAGTGAGTGAGTGGGTGGGTGAGTCAGTGAGTGGGTGAGTGATTGAGTGAGTGGGTGAGTGAGTGAGTGGGTGAGTGAGTGGGTGGGTGAGTAGGTGAGTGAGTGAGTGGGTGAATGAGTCAGAAGGCGAGTGAGTAGGTGAATGAGTGAGTGAGTGAATGGGGGAGTAGGTGAGTGAGTGAGTCAGTGGGTGAGTGAGTGGGTGAGTGAGTCAGTGGGTGAGTGAGTAGGTGAGTGAGTGAATGGGTGAGTGGGTGAGTAGGTGGGTGAGTGAGTGGGTGGGTGAGTGAGTGGGTGGGTGGGTGGGTGAGTGGTTGAGTGGGTGGGTGAGTGAGTGGTGAGTGCGTGGGTGAGTGAGTGGGTGAGTGGGTGGGTGAGTGGGTGAGTGGGTGAGAGAGTGGGTGAGTGAGTGGGTGCGTGAGTGTGTGAGTGAGTGAGAGGGTGGGTGAGTGATTGAGTGAGTGGGTGAGTGAGTGGGTGAGTGGGTGAGTGAGTGGGTGAGTGGGTGGGTGGGTGAGTGGGTGGGTGGGTGAGTGGATGGGTGAGTGAGTGAGTGGGTGGGTGCGTGGGTGAGTGGGTGGGTGAGTGAGTGGGTGAGTGGGTGAGTGAGTGGGTGGGTGAGTGAGTGAGTGGGTGAGTGAGTGGGTGAGTGAGTGAGTGGGCGAGTGGGTGGGTGGGTGAGTGGGTGGGTGGGTGAGTGGGTGGGTGGGTGAGTGGGTGAGTGAGTGGGTGAGTGGGTGGGTGAGTGAGTGAGTGGGTGAGTGGGTGGGTGAGTGAGTGGATGAGTGAGTGAGCGGGTGAGTGGGTGGGTGAGTGGGTGAGTGAGTGGGTGGTTGAGTGAGTCGGTGGATGAGTGAGTGGGTGGGTGGGTGAGTGGGTGGGTGGGTGAGTGGGTGAGTGAGTGGGTGAGTGGGTGGGTGAGTGAGTGAGTGGGTGAGTGGGTGGGTGAGTGAGTGGATGAGTGAGTGAGCGGGTGAGTGGGTGGGTGAGTGGGTGAGTGAGTGGGTGGTTGAGTGAGTCGGTGGATGAGTGAGTGGGTGAGTGAGTGAGTGGGTGGGTGAGTGGGTGAGTGAGTGAGTGGGTGAGTGAGTGGGTGGGTGAGTGAGTCGGTGGGTGAGTGGGTGGGTGAGTGAGTGAGCGGGTGAGTGGGTGGGTGAGTGAGTGGGTGAGTGAGTGAGTGGGTGGGTGAGTGAGTGAGTGAGTGGGTGAGTGGGTGGGTGAGTGAGTGAGTGGATGAGTGAGTGAGCGGGTGAGTGGGTGGGTGAGTGAGTGGGTGAGTAGGTGGGTGAGTGAGTGGGTGGGTGAGTGAGTGGGTGAGTGAGTGGGTGAGTGGGTGAGTGAGTGAGTGGGTGGGTGAGTCAGTGAGTGGGTGAGTGGGTGGGTGAGTGGGTGGGTGGGTGAGTGAGTGAGTGAGTGGGTGAGTGAGTGAGTGGGTGGGTGAGTGAGTGAGTGGGTGGGTGGGTGAGTGGGTGATTGAATGGGTGGGTGAGTGGTAGTGTGATTGACTGAGTGAGTGACTGAGTGACTGACTGAGTGGGTGAGTGAGTGACTGAGTGAGTGAGTGGGTGAGTGAGTGACTGACTGAGTGAGTGACTGACTGACTGAGTGAGTGACTGACTGAGTGACTGACTGACTGAGTGACTGAGTGACTGACTGAGTGACTGAGTAACTGACTGAGTGACTGACTGACTGACTGACTGACTGACTGATTCACCTCCACTGGAGTATCCGTGTGCGTAGCTGAACCGGCTGGTAACCCATATGAATCCAAAAGCAGCGGAGATCAACTGGGCAGAGACACGAGATGCACACAAAGACAAAGCTCCCCCGTGTAGCCTCCACACACCGCCGGGGCAAGTGCTCTTTGCGAGCAGCGAACTCACACGATGCGTCGTTCAACTCGCGACTCAGCTGCTCGGCCAAGTGGCTGACGTCATCGTCATCACGTGGACACTCATAGTAGAAGACAAATAGTCTCATAGACATCCACAGAGACCCACAGAGACACACGCAGAGACACACACAGACACACAGAGACACAGAAACACACAGAGACACACAGAGAAACACAGAGACACACACAGAGACTCACAGACCCTTAGAGACACACACAGAGACTCACACAGACACACACAGACACAGAAACACACAGAGACACACAAAAACACAGAGACACACAGAGACCCACAGAGACACACGGAGACACACAGACACACAGAAACACACAGAGACACACAGAGACACAGAGATACAGAGACACAGGGAGACACACAGAGACACATAAACACACAGAGACACACAGAGACACACAGAAACACACAGAGACACAGAGATACAGAGACACACAGACCCACAGAGACACACAGAGACACACAGACCCACAGAGACACACAGAGACACACACAGAGACACACACAGAGACACACAGAGACACACAGAGACACACGGAGACACACAGAGACACACAGACCCACAGAGACACACAGACCCACAGAGACACACAGAGGCACACAGAGACCCACAGAGACAAAAAGAGACTCACAGAGACACACAGAGACCCACAGAGACACACAGAGACCCACAGAGACACACACAGACCCACAGAGACACACAGAGACACACAGAGACACACAGAGACACACAGAGACCCACAGAGACACACACAGACCCACAGAGACACACAGAGACACACAGAGACACACAGACCCACAGAGACCCATAGAGACCCATAGACACACACAGAGACTCACAGAGATAAAGAGAGACACACAGAGACCCACAGAGACACACAGAGACTCACAGAGACCGCTAGAGACACACAGAGACCCAAAGAGACCCATAGAGACACACAGAGAGATACAGAGACTCACAGAGACCCACAGAGACACACAGAGACCCACAGAGACACACAGAGACCCACAGAGACACACAGACACCCACAGAGACACACAGAGACACGCAGAGACTCAGAGACACACAGAAACCCATAGAGACCCACAGAAACCCACAGAGACCCACAGAGACAAATAGAGACACACAGAGACACACACAGAGACCCATAGAGACCCACAGAGACCCACAGAGACCCACAGAGACCCACAGAGACTCACAGAGACTCACAGAGACTCACAGAGACTCACAGAGACTCACAGAGACAGAGAGCCATAGAGACATACAGAGACTCACAGAGACTCACAGAGACACACAGAGACTCACAGAGACAGAGAGCCATAGAGACCCACAGAGACCCATAGAGACATACAGAGACTCACAGAGACTCACAGAGACACACAGAGACTCACAGAGACAGAGAGCCATAGAGACCCACAGAGACCCATAGAGACACACAGACAGAGACTCACAGAGACCCATAGACACCCACAGAGACACACAGAGACTCACAGAGACCCATATACACAGAGACACAGAGACTCACAGAGACCCACAGAGACTCACAGAGGCACACAGAGACAAAAAGAGACTCACAGAGACACACAGAGACCCACAGAGACACACGGAGACACACGGAGACACACGGAGACCCATAGAGACCCACAGAGGCCCACAGAGACTCACAGAGACACGCAGAGATTCAGAGACACACAGAGACTCAGAGACACACAGAGACCCATAGAGACCCACAGAGGCCCACAGAGACTCACATAGACCCATAGAGACTCACAGAGACACACAAAGACCCACAGAGACCCACAGAGACCCATAGAGACCCACGGAGACCCACAGAGACCCATAGAGACGCACAGAGACACACAGAGACACACAGAGACACACAGAGACCCATAGAGACCCACAGAGACCCATAGAGACGCACAGAGACACACAGAGACACACAGACACCCACAGAGATCCACAGAGACCCACAGACACACACAGAGACTCACAGAGACCCATATAGACCCACAGAGACACACAGAGACCCACAGAGACACACAGAGACCCACAGAGACACACAGACACCCACAGAGACACACAGAGACACGCAGAGATTCAGAGACACACAGAGACTCAGAGACACACAGAAACCCATAGAGACCCACAGAGACCCACAGAAACCCACAGAGACCCACAGAGACAAATTGAGACACACAGAGACCCACATAGACACACACACAGACCCATAGAGGCCCACAGAGACCCACAGAGACCCACAGAGACTCACAGAGACCCACAAAGACACACAGAGACACACAGAGACTCACAGAGACCCACAGAGACTTACAGAGACACACAGAGACCCATAGAGACTCACAGAGACTCACAGAGACACACAGAGACCCACAGAGACTCACAGAGACCCACAGAGACACACAGAGACACACAGAGACTCACAGAGACCCACAGAGACTTACAGAGACACACAGAGACCCATAGAGACTCACAGAGACTCACAGAGTCTCACAGAAACTCACAGAGACTCAAGGAGACTCACAGAGTCTCAAGGAGACACACAGAGACCCACAGAGACCCACAGAGACCCATAGAGACCCATAGACACACACAGAGACTCACAGAGACAAAGAGAGACACACAGAGACCCACAGAGACTCACAGAGACCCCTAGAGACACACAGAGACCCAAAGAGACCCATAGAGACACACAGAGACATACAGAGACTCACAGAGACCCACAGAGACTCACAGACACACACAGAGACTCACAGAGACCCATATAGACCCACAGAGACACACAGAGACCCACAGAGACACACAGAGACCCACAGAGACACACAGACACCCACAGAGACACACAGAGACACGCAGAGATTCAGAGACACACAGAGACACACAGAGACTCAGAGACACACAGAAACCCACAGAGACCCACAGAGACAAATTGAGACATACAGAGACCCACATAGACACACACACAGACCCATAGAGGCCCACAGAGACCCACAGAGACCCACAGAGACTCACAGAGACCCACAGAGACTCACAGAGACACACAGAGACCCATAGAGACTCACAGAGACTCACAGAGACACACAGAGACCCACAGAGACTCACAGAGACTCAGAGACTCACAGAGACTCACAGAGACACACAGAGACCCACAGAGACTCAGATAGACTCACAGAGACACACAGAGACTCACAGAGACCCACAGAGACTCACAGAGACTCACAGAGACACACAGAGACACAGAGACACACAGAGACACAGAGACCCACAGAGACACACATAGACTCACAGAGACCCATAGAGACCCATAGAGACCCACAGAGACCCATAGAGACACACAGAGACCCACACACCCATAGAGACCCACAGAGACCCATAGAGACCCACAGAGACCCATAGAGACCCACAGAGACACACAGAGACACACAGAGACCCATAGAGACCCACAGAGACACACAGAGACCCACAGAGACTCACAGAGACACACAGAGACCCACAGAGACTCAGAGAGACTCACAGAGACCCACAGAGACTCACAGAGACACACAGAGACACACAGAGACACACAGAGACTCAGAGAGACCCACAGAGACTCAGAGACCCATAGAGACCCATCTATGAAGGCTACCAGCACTGTGGCACACACAGAGGGGGTGGTTGGCCACCACCACCACAACCACCACAACCACCACCACCACCACAACCACCACCCCCACCACCACCACCACCACAACCACCACCACCACCACCACAACCACCACCACCACCACAACCACCACCACCACAACCACCACCACCCCCACAACCACCACCATCACCACCACCACCACCACAACCACCACCACCACAACCACCACCACCACAACCACCACCACAACCACCAAAACCACCACCAACACAACCACCACCACCACAACCACCACCAATACCACCACCACCACCACCACAACCACCACCACCACAACCACCACCACCACCACCACAACCACCACCACCACAACCACCACCACAACCACCACCACCACCACAACCACCAAAACCACCACCACCACAACCACCACCACAACCACCACAACCACCACAACCACCACCCCCACAACCACCACCATCACCACCACCACCATCATCACCACCACCACCATCACCATCACCACCACCACCTTCACCACCACCCCCACCACCACCACCCCCACCACAATCAGAACCACAACCACGCCCGGCCGCCTTTGTCTCTCCCCCCTTACCCCCCCTCACCCTCACCACCCCTCACCCTCACCCTCACCACCCCTCACCCTCACCGGGTGAGTGAAGGCCACCACCAGCACAAGGCCCAGCCACACTGGGTATCCTTCCAGCGTGTTCTGGTGAGCTCTCTGGATGCAGTTGAAGATGGTGGAGTCCTTTGAGTAGAGATCCGGATACTTGAGAGACAACCACAGAGCATCATCATCAGCATCATCATCATCATCAGCATCATCAGCAGCATTATCATCAGTAGCAGCATCATCAACAGCAGCATCATCATCAGCAGCATTATCATCAGCAGCATTATCATCAGTAGCAGCATCATCATCATAAGCATCATCAGTAGCAGCATCATCAGCATTATCATCAGTAGCAGCAGCATCATCATCAGTAGCATCATCATCATCATCAGTAGCAGCATCATCATCATCAGCAGCATCATCATCATCAGCAGCATCATCATCATCAGCAGCATCATCATCATCAGCATCATCATCAGTAGCAGCATCATCAGCATTATCATCAGTAGCAGCAGCATCATCAGTAGCAGCATCGTCATCATCAGTAGCAGCATCATCATCATCAGTAGCAGCATCATTATCATCAGCATCATCATCAGCATCATCATGAGTGGGTGAGCGAGTGATGAGTGAGTGGGTGGGTGAGTGATGAGTGAGTGGGTTATGAGTTAGTGAGTGGGTGAGTGATGAGTGAGTGATGAGTGAGTGGGTGAGTGATGAGTGAGTGAGTGGTGAGTGAGTGGCTGATGAGTGAGTGGTGAGTGAGTGGCTGACTGACTGAGTGGTGAGTGGCTGACTGACTGACTGAGTGAGTGGCTGAGTGAGTGAATGGTGAGTGGCTGACTGAGTGAGTGGGTGAGTGAGTGACTGAGTGAGTGGTGAGTGAGTGAGTGAGTGACTGAGTGAGTGGCTGACTGAGTGAGTGGCTGACTGAGTGAGTGGCTGACTGGGTGAGTGAGTGGCTGAGTGAGTGAGTGGTGAGTGAGTGACTAAGTGAGTGGCTGAGTGAGTGACTGAGTGAGTGGTGAGTGAGTGAGTGAGTGACTGAGTGAGTGGCTGACTGAGTGAGTGGCTGACTGAGTGAGTGGCTGACTGGGTGAGTGAGTGGCTGAGTGAGTGAGTGGTGAGTGAGTGACTAAGTGAGTGGCTGAGTGAGTGACTGAGTGAGTGGTGAGTGAGTGAGTGAGTGACTGAGTGAGTGGCTGACTGAGTGAGTGGCTGACTGAGTGAGTGGCTGACTGGGTGAGTGAGTGGCTGAGTGAGTGAGTGGTGAGTGAGTGACTAAGTGAGTGGCTGAGTGAGTGACTGAGTGAGTGGGTGAGTGAGTGGGTGAGTGGTGAGTGACTGAGTGAGTGGATGAGTGAGTGCCTGAGTGGTGAGTGAGTGACTGAGTGGCTGACTGACTGAGTGGCTGGGTGAGTGAGTGACCGAGTGAGTGATGGACTGAGTGAGTGGGTGAGTGAGTGGTGAGTGGGTGAGTGAGTGGTAAGTGAGTGAGTGACTGAGTGATTGACTGAGTGGCTGAGTGAGTGGTGAGTGAGTGAGTGGGTGATTGAGTGGTAAGTGAGTGAGTGAGTGGTGAGTGAGTGGCTGAGTGAGTGGCTGAGTGACTAGGTGAGTGTGTGGTGAGTGAGTGGTGAGTGAGTGGTGAGTGAGTGGTAAGTGAGTGCGTGGCTGACTGAGTGAGTGGTGAGTGGGTGACTGAGTGGTGAGTGACTGGGTGAGTGAGTGACTGGGTGAGTGAGTGGTGAGTGAGTGGTGAGTGGGTGAGTGGCTGAGTGACTGAGTGAGTGGGTGGTGAGTGAGTGGTGAGTGAGTGACTGGGTGAGTGAGTGACTGGGTGAATGAGTGGCTGGGTGAGTGACTGAGTGAGTGACTGAGTGACTGGGTGAGTGACTGGGTGAGTGACTGGGTGAGTGTCTCCCCTCACCTTGACTGAGTGACTGGGTGAGTGACTGAGTGACTGGGTGAGTGTCTCCCCTCACCTTGACTGGGTGAGTGACTGGGTGAGTGACTGGGTGAGTGACTGGGTGAGTGACTGGGTGAGTGAGTGACTGGGTGAGTGACTGGGTGAGTGAGTGACTGGGTGAGTGACTGGGTGAGTGAGTGACTGAGTGAGTGACTGAGTGACTGGGTGAGTGACTGGGTGAGTGACTGAGTGAGTGACTGGGTGAGTGAATGACTGGGTGAGTGAGTGGGTGAGTGTCTCCCCTCACCTTGACTGAGTGACTGGGTGAGTGACTGGGTGAGTGACTGAGTGAGTGACTGAGTCAGTGTCTCCCCTCACCTTGACTGAGTGACTGGGTGAGTGACTGGGTGAGTGACTGGATGAGTGTCTCCCCTCACCTTGACTGAGTGACAGGGTGAGTGAGTCGTGAGTGACTTGGTGAGTGACTGGGTGAGTGACTGGGTGAGTGACTGAGTGATTGGGTGAGTGTCTCCCCTCACCTTGACTGAGTGACTGGGTGAGTGACTGGGTGAGTGAGTGGCTGAGTGAGTGACTGGGTGAGTGAGTCGTGAGTGACTGGGTGAGTGACTGGGTGACTGGGTGAGTGAGTGACTGGGTGAGTGACTGGGTGAGTGACTGTGTGAGTGACTGAGTGACTGGGTGAATGTCTCCCCTCACCTTCACTGAGTGACTGGGTGACTGGGTGAGTGACTGGGTGAGTGAGTGACTGGGTGAGTGAGTCGTGAGTGACTGGGTGAGTGTCTCCCCTCACCTTGACTGAGTGACTGGGTGAGTGACTGGGTGAGTGACCGGGTGAGTGTCTCCCCTCACCTTGACTGAGTGACTGGGTGAGTGACTGAGTGAGTGACTGAGTGAGTGACTGGGTGAGTGTCTCACCTTGACTGAGTGACTGAGTGTCTGGGTGAGTGACTGGGTGAGTGAGTGACTGAGTGACTGGGTGAGTGAGTGACTGGGTGACTGAGTGACTGGGTGAGTGAGTGGTGAGTGAGTGAGTGGTGAGTGGGTGATTGAGTGGTAAGTGAGTGAGTGAGTGGTGAGTGAGTGAGTGGTGAGTGAGTGGTGAGTGAGTGGCTGAGTGAGTGGCTGAGTGACTAGGTGAGTGTGTGGTGAGTGAGTGGTGAGTGAGTGGTGAGTGGGTGAGTGAGTGGTAAGTGAGTGCGTGGCTGACTGAGTGAGTGACTGAGTGAGTGGTGAGTGACTGAGTGAGTGGCTGAGTGAGTGAGTGACTGAGTGAGTGGGTGAGTGACTGGGTGAGTGAGTGGTGAGTGAGTGGGTGACTGAGTGGTGAGTGACTGGGTGAGTGAGTGACTGGGTGAGTGAGTGGTGAGTGAGTGACTGAGTGAGTGACTGAGTGACTGGGTGAGTGGCTGGGTGAGTGACTGGGTGAGTGTCTCCCCTCACCTTGACTGAGTGACTGGGTGAGTGACTGAGTGACTGGGTGAGTGTCTCCCCTCACCTTTACTGGGTGAGTGACTGGGTGAGTGACTGAGTTAGTGACTGGGTGAGTGACTGTGTGAGTGACTGGGTGAGTGAGTGACTGGGTGAGTGACTGGGTGAGTGAGTGACTGGGTGACTGAGTGACTGAGTGAGTGACTGGGTGAGTGACTGAGTGGGTGAGTGACTGGGTGAGTGACTGGGTGAGTGAGTGACTGGGTGAGTGACTGGGTGAGTGACTGTATGACTGGGTGAGTGTCTCCCCTCACCTTCACTTAGTGACTGGGTGAGTGAGTGGCTGAGTGAGTGACTGGGTGAGTGAGTCGTGAGTGACTGGGTGAGTGACTGGGTGAGTGACTGGGTGAGTGAGTGACTGGGTGAGTGACTGGGTGAGTGACTGCGTGAGTGACTGAGTGACTGGGTGAGTGTCTCCCCTCACCTTCACTGAGTGACTGGGTGAGTGACTGAGTGAGTGGGTGACTGGGTGAGTGAGTGACTGAGTGACTGGGTGAGTGACTGGGTGAGTGACTGGGTGAGTGACTCCCCTCACCTTGACTGAGTGACTGAGTGACTGGGTGAGTGACTGGGTGAGTGACCGGGTGAGTGACTGGGTGAGTGTCTCACCTTGACTGAGTGACTGAGTGTCTGGGTGAGTGACTGGGTGAGTGTGTGACTGGGTGACTGAGTGACTGGGTGAGTGAGTGACTGAGTGACTGGGTGAGTGAGTGACTGAGTGAGTGACTGGGTGAGTGTCTCACCTTGACTGAGTGAGTGACTGAGTGACTGGGTGAGTGACTGAGTCACCTTGACTGAGTGACTGAGTGAGTGACTGAGTGACTGGATGAGTGACTGGGTGAGTGACTGGGTGAGTGAGTGAATGGGTGAGTGAGTGAGTGAGTGACTGGGTGAGTGTCTCACCTTGACTGAGTGACTGAGTAACTGGGTGAGTGACTGCCTGGGTGAGTGACTGCCTGGGTGAGTGACTGGGTGAGTGAGTGACTGGGTGAGTGACTGAGTCACCTTGACTGAGTGAGTGACTGGTTGAGTGAGTGACTGAGTGACTGGGTGAGTGACTGGGTGTGTGACTGAGTGAGTGACTGAGTGAGTGACTGGCTGAGTGACTGGGTGACTGAGTGACTGGGTGAGTGACTGAGTGACTGGGTGACTGAGTGAGTGACTGGGTGAGTGAGTGGTGAGTGACTGAGTGAGTGACTGGGTGAGTGAGTGACTGGGTGAGTGAGTGGTGAGTGACTGAGTGAGTGACTGGGTGACTGAGTGACTGGGTGAGTGACTGAGTGACTGGGTGAGTGACTGGGTGAGTGACTGAGTGAGTGACTGAGTGACTGGGTGAGTGAGTGACTGGGTGAGTGACTGGGTGAGTGAGTGACTGAGTGACAGGGTGAGTGACTGAGTGACTGGGTGAGTGACTGGGTGAGTGACTGAGTGACTGAGTCACCTTGACTGAGTGACTGGGTGAGTGACTGAGTCACCTTGACTGAGTGACTGGGTGAAGTGACTGAGTGAGTGACTGAGTCACCTTGACTGAGTGAGTGACTGGGTGACTGAGTGACTGGGTGACTGGGTGACTGAGTGAGTGACTGGGTGAGTGAGTGGTGAGTGACTGAGTGAGTGACTGGGTGAGTGAGTGACTGGGTGAGTGAGTGGTGAGTGACTGAGTGAGTGACTGGGTGACTGAGTGACTGGGTGAGTGACTGAGTGACTGGGTGAGTAACTGGGTGAGTGACTGAGTGAGTGACTGAGTGACTGGGTGAGTGAGTGACTGGGTGAGTGACTGGGTGAGTGAGTGACTGAGTGACAGGGTGAGTGACTGAGTGACTGGGTGAGTGACTGGGTGAGTGACTGAGTGACTGAGTCACCTTGACTGAGTGACTGGGTGAGTGACTGAGTCACCTTGACTGAGTGACTGGGTGAAGTGACTGAGTGAGTGACTGAGTCACCTTGACTGAGTGAGTGACTGGGTGACTGAGTGACTGGGTGACTGAGTGACTGAGTGAGTGACTGAGTGACTGAGTCACCTTGACTGAGTATTTCTTCCTGGCTAGCGTGACGTTGAGTGACAGGTACATCAGCATGACCCAGCTGTAGACAATCACCAAGATCACGAAGGCGAAGTGACTGGTGAGTGACTGGGTGAGTGGGTGAGTGACTGAGTGAGTGAGTGACTGGTTGAGTGACTGAGTGAGTGACTGGGTGACTGAGTGACTGGTGAGTGACTGGGTGAGTGGGTGAGTGAGTGACTGGGTGAGTGACTGAGTGACTGGTGAGTGACTGGGTGAGTGGGTGACTGAGTGAGTGACTGAGTGAGTGACTGAGTGAGTGGGTGAGTGACTGAGTGAGTGACTGACTGAGTGACTGAGTGAGTGACTGAGTCACCTTGACTGAGTATTTCTTCCTGGCTAGCGTGACGTTGAGTGACAGGTACATCAGCATGACCCAGCTGTAGACAATCACCAAGATCACGAAGGCGAAGTGACTGGTGAGTGACTGGGTGAGTGAGTGACTGAGTGACTGGGTGAGTGACTGAGTGAGTGAGTGAGTGACTGGGTGAGTGACTGGGTGAGTGAGTGACTGAGTGACTGGGTGAGTGACTGGGTGACTGAGTGACTGAGTGAGTCACCTTGACTGAGTATTTCTTCCTGGCTAGCGTGACGTTGAGTGACAGGTACATCAGCATGACCCAGCTGTAGACAATCACCAAGATCACGAAGGCGAAGTGACTGGTGAGTGACTGGGTGAGTGAGTGACTGAGTGACTGGGTGAGTGACTGAGTGAGTGACTGAGTGACTGGGTGAGTGACTGGGTGAGTGAGTGACTGAGTGACTGGGTGAGTGACTGGGTGACTGAGTGACTGAGTGAGTCACCTTGACTGAGTATTTCTTCCTGGCTAGCGTGACGTTGAGTGACAGGTACATCAGCATGACCCAGCTGTAGACAATCACCAAGATCACGAAGGCGAAGTGACTGGTGAGTGACTGGGTGAGTGAGTGGGTGAGTGAGTGACTGGGTGAGTGACTGAGTGACTGGGTGAGTGACTGAGTGAGTGACTGGGTGAGTGAGTGACTGGGTGAGTGAGTGACTGGGTGAGTGACTGAGTGACTGGGTGAGTGACTGAGTGAGTGACTGACTGAGTGACTGGGTGAGTGAGTGACTGAGTGACTGAGTCACCTTGACTGAGTATTTCTTCCTGGCTAGCGTGACGTTGAGTGACAGGTACATCAGCATGACCCAGCTGTAGACAATCACCAAGATCACGAAGGCGAAGTGACTGGTGAGTGACTGGGTGAGTGGGTGACTGACTGGGTGAGTGACTGAGTGAGTGACTGGGTGAGTGACTGAGTGACTGGGTGAAGTGACTGAGTGACTGACTGAGTGAGTGACTGAGTGACTGGGTGAAGTGACTGACTGAGTGACTGAGTGAGTGACTGAGTGAGTCACCTTGACTGAGTATTTCTTCCTGGCTAGCGTGACGTTGAGTGACAGGTACATCAGCATGACCCAGCTGTAGACAATCACCAAGATCACGAAGGCGAAGTGACTGGTGAGTGACTGGGTGAGTGACTGGGTGAGTGACTGAGTGAGTGATTGGGTGAGTGACTGAGTGACTGGCTGAGTGACTGGGTGAGTGAGTGGTGAGTGAGTGGGTGAGTGACTGGGTGAGTGAGTGGGTGAGTGGGTGACTGACTGGGTGAGTGACTGAGTGAGTGACTGGGTGAGTGAGTGACTGGGTGAGTGACTGAGTGACTGGGTGAGTGACTGAGTGAGTGACTGACTGAGTGACTGGGTGAGTGAGTGACTGAGTGACTGGGTGATTGACTGAGTGACTGGGTGACTGAGTGACTGACTGAGTGACTGAGTGAGTGACTGAGTGACTGACTGAGTGACTGAGTGAGTGACTGAGTGACTGCGTCACCTTGACTGAGTATTTCTTCCTGGCTAGCGTGACGTTGAGTGACAGGTACATCAGCATGACCCAGCTGTAGACAATCACCAAGATCACGAAGGCGAAGTGACTGGTGAGTGACTGGGTGAGTGACTGGGTGAGTGACTGAGTGAGTGAGTGACTGAGTCACCTTGACTGAGTATTTCTTCCTGGCTAGCGTGACGTTGAGTGACAGGTACATCAGCATGACCCAGCTGTAGACAATCACCAAGATCACGAAGGCGAAGTGACTGGTGAGTGACTGGGTGAGTGACTGGGTGAGTGACTGAGTGAGTGACTGGGTGAGTGAGTGACTGGGTGAGTGACTGAGTGACTGGGTGAGTGACTGGGTGAGTGACTGGGTGACTGACTGAGTGACTGGGTGAGTGACTGGGTGAGTGAGTGACTGAGTGACTGGGTGAGTGACTGGGTGACTGAGTGACTGAGTGAGTCACCTTGACTGAGTATTTCTTCCTGGCTAGCGTGACGTTGAGTGACAGGTACATCAGCATGACCCAGCTGTAGACAATCACCAAGATCACGAAGGCGAAGTGACTGGTGAGTGACTGGGTGAGTGAGTGACTGGGTGAGTGACTGCCTGGGTGAGTGACTGGGTGAGTGAGTGACGGAGTGAGTGACTGGGTGAGTGACTGGGTGTGTGACTGAGTGAGTGACTGAGTGAGTGACTGGGTGACTGGGTGACTGAGTGACTGGGTGATTGACTGAGTGACTGGGTGACTGAGTGACTGACTGAGTGACTGAGTGAGTGACTGAGTGACTGACTGAGTGACTGAGTGAGTGACTGAGTGACTGCGTCACCTTGACTGAGTATTTCTTCCTGGCTAGCGTGACGTTGAGTGACAGGTACATCAGCATGACCCAGCTGTAGACAATCACCAAGATCACGAAGGCGAAGTGACTGGTGAGTGACTGGGTGAGTGGGTGAGTGACTGAGTGAGTGAGTGACTGGTTGAGTGACTGAGTGAGTGACTGGGTGACTGAGTGACTGGTGAGTGACTGGGTGAGTGGGTGAGTGAGTGACTGGGTGAGTGACTGAGTGACTGGTGAGTGACTGGGTGAGTGGGTGACTGAGTGAGTGACTGAGTGAGTGACTGAGTGAGTGGGTGAGTGACTGAGTGAGTGACTGACTGAGTGACTGAGTGAGTGACTGAGTCACCTTGACTGAGTATTTCTTCCTGGCTAGCGTGACGTTGAGTGACAGGTACATCAGCATGACCCAGCTGTAGACAATCACCAAGATCACGAAGGCGAAGTGACTGGTGAGTGACTGGGTGAGTGAGTGAGTGAGTGACTGGGTGAGTGACTGGGTGAGTGACTGAGTGACTGGGTGAGTGACTGGGTGAGTGAGTGACTGAGTGACTGGGTGAGTGACTGGGTGACTGAGTGACTGAGTGAGTCACCTTGACTGAGTATTTCTTCCTGGCTAGCGTGACGTTGAGTGACAGGTACATCAGCATGACCCAGCTGTAGACAATCACCAAGATCACGAAGGCGAAGTGACTGGTGAGTGACTGGGTGAGTGAGTGACTGAGTGACTGGGTGAGTGACTGAGTGAGTGACTGAGTGACTGGGTGAGTGACTGGGTGAGTGAGTGACTGAGTGACTGGGTGAGTGACTGGGTGACTGAGTGACTGAGTGAGTCACCTTGACTGAGTATTTCTTCCTGGCTAGCGTGACGTTGAGTGACAGGTACATCAGCATGACCCAGCTGTAGACAATCACCAAGATCACGAAGGCGAAGTGACTGGTGAGTGACTGGGTGAGTGAGTGGGTGAGTGAGTGACTGGGTGAGTGACTGAGTGACTGGGTGAGTGACTGAGTGAGTGACTGGGTGAGTGAGTGACTGGGTGAGTGAGTGACTGGGTGAGTGACTGAGTGACTGGGTGAGTGACTGAGTGAGTGACTGACTGAGTGACTGGGTGAGTGAGTGACTGAGTGACTGAGTCACCTTGACTGAGTATTTCTTCCTGGCTAGCGTGACGTTGAGTGACAGGTACATCAGCATGACCCAGCTGTAGACAATCACCAAGATCACGAAGGCGAAGTGACTGGTGAGTGACTGGGTGAGTGGGTGACTGACTGGGTGAGTGACTGAGTGAGTGACTGGGTGAGTGACTGAGTGACTGGGTGAAGTGACTGAGTGACTGACTGAGTGAGTGACTGAGTGACTGGGTGAAGTGACTGAGTGACTGACTGAGTGACTGAGTGAGTGACTGAGTGAGTCACCTTGACTGAGTATTTCTTCCTGGCTAGCGTGACGTTGAGTGACAGGTACATCAGCATGACCCAGCTGTAGACAATCACCAAGATCACGAAGGCGAAGTGACTGGTGAGTGACTGGGTGAGTGACTGGGTGAGTGACTGAGTGAGTGACTGGGTGAGTGACTGAGTGACTGGCTGAGTGACTGGGTGAGTGAGTGGTGAGTGAGTGGGTGAGTGACTGGGTGAGTGAGTGGGTGAGTGGGTGACTGACTGGGTGAGTGACTGAGTGAGTGACTGGGTGAGTGAGTGACTGGGTGAGTGACTGAGTGACTGGGTGAGTGACTGAGTGAGTGACTGACTGAGTGACTGGGTGAGTGAGTGACTGAGTGACTGAGTCACCTTGACTGAGTATTTCTTCCTGGCTAGCGTGACGTTGAGTGACAGGTACATCAGCATGACCCAGCTGTAGACAATCACCAAGATCACGAAGGCGAAGTGACTGGTGAGTGACTGGGTGAGTGGGTGACTGACTGGGTGAGTGACTGAGTGAGTGACTGGGTGAGTGACTGAGTGACTGGGTGAAGTGACTGAGTGACTGACTGAGTGAGTGACTGAGTGACTGGGTGAAGTGACTGAGTGACTGACTGAGTGACTGAGTGAGTGACTGAGTGAGTCACCTTGACTGAGTATTTCTTCCTGGCTAGCGTGACGTTGAGTGACAGGTACATCAGCATGACCCAGCTGTAGACAATCACCAAGATCACGAAGGCGAAGTGACTGGTGAGTGACTGGGTGAGTGGGTGAGTGAGTGGGTGAGTGACTGAGTGACTGAGTGACTGGGTGAGTGACTGAGTGAGTGACTGAGTGAGTGACTGACTGGGTGAGTGACTGAGTGAGTGAGTGACTGAGTGAGTGACTGGGTGAGTGACTGGGTGAGTGAGTGACTGAGTGACTGGGTGAGTGACTGGGTGAGTGACTGACTGAGTGAGTGACTGAGTGAGTCACCTTGACTGAGTATTTCTTCCTGGCTAGCGTGACGTTGAGTGACAGGTACATCAGCATGACCCAGCTGTAGACAATCACCAAGATCACGAAGGCGAAGTGACTGGTGAGTGACTGGGTGAGTGGGTGAGTGACTGAGTGAGTGACGGAGTGACTGAGTGAGTGACTGGGTGAGTGAGTGACTGACTGAGTGACTGGGTGACTGAGTGAGTGACTGAGTGACTGGGTGAGTGAGTGACTGGGTGAGTGACTGAGTGAGTGAGTGACTGAGTCACCTTGACTGAGTATTTCTTCCTGGCTAGCGTGACGTTGAGTGACAGGTACATCAGCATGACCCAGCTGTAGACAATCACCAAGATCACGAAGGCGAAGTGACTGGTGAGTGACTGGGTGAGTGGGTGAGTGACTGGGTGAGTGACTGAGTGAGTGACTGGGTGAGTGACTGAGTGACTGGGTGAAGTGACTGAGTGACTGAGTGACTGACTGAGTGAGTGACTGAGTGAGTCACCTTGACTGAGTATTTCTTCCTGGCTAGCGTGACGTTGAGTGACAGGTACATCAGCATGACCCAGCTGTAGACAATCACCAAGATCACGAAGGCGAAGTGACTGGTGAGTGACTGGGTGAGTGAGTGGGTGAGTGACTGGGTGATTGACTGAGTGACTGAGTGAGTGACTGACTGAGTGACTGAGTGAGTCACCTTGACTGAGTATTTCTTCCTGGCTAGCGTGACGTTGAGTGACAGGTACATCAGCATGACCCAGCTGTAGACAATCACGAATATCACGAAGGCGAAGTGACTGGTGAGTGACTGGGTGAGTGAGTGACTGAGTGACTGGGTGAGTGACTGGGTGAGTGAGTGACTGGGTGAGTGACTGGGTGAGTGACTGACTGAGTGAGTGACTGAGTGAGTCACCTTGACTGAGTATTTCTTCCTGGCTAGCGTGACGTTGAGTGACAGGTACATCAGCATGACCCAGCTGTAGACAATCACCAAGATCACGAAGGCGAAGTGACTGGTGAGTGACTGGGTGAGTGGGTGAGTGAGTGGGTGAGTGACTGAGTGACTGAGTGACTGGGTGAGTGACTGAGTGAGTGACTGAGTGAGTGACTGACTGGGTGAGTGACTGAGTGGGTGAGTGACTGAGTGAGTGACTGAGTGAGTGAGTGACTGGGTGAGTGAGTGACTGAGTGACTGGGTGAGTGACTGGGTGAGTGACTGACTGAGTGAGTGACTGAGTGAGTCACCTTGACTGAGTATTTCTTCCTGGCTAGCGTGACGTTGAGTGACAGGTACATCAGCATGACCCAGCTGTAGACAATCACCAAGATCACGAAGGCGAAGTGACTGGTGAGTGACTGGGTGAGTGGGTGACTGACTGGGTGAGTGACTGAGTGAGTGACTGGGTGAGTGACTGAGTGACTGGGTGAAGTGACTGAGTGACTGAGTGACTGACTGAGTGAGTGACTGAGTGAGTCACCTTGACTGAGTATTTCTTCCTGGCTAGCGTGACGTTGAGTGACAGGTACATCAGCATGACCCAGCTGTAGACAATCACCAAGATCACGAAGGCGAAGTGACTGGTGAGTGACTGGGTGAGTGGGTGAGTGAGTGACTGGGTGAGTGACTGAGTGACTGAGTGGGTGAGTGACTGACTGAGTGACTGAGTGACTGAGTGAGTGACTGAGTGACTGGGTGAGTGAGTGACTGCGTGGGTGAGTGACTGAGTGAGTGACTGGGTGACTGAGTGACTGGGTGAGTGACTGAGTGACTGGGTGAGTGACTGAGTGAGTGACTGGGTGAGTGACTGACTGAGTGACTGGGTGAGTGACTGGGTGAGTGAGTGACTGAGTGACTGAGTGAGTCACCTTGACTGAGTATTTCTTCCTGGCTAGCGTGACGTTGAGTGACAGGTACATCAGCATGACCCAGCTGTAGACAATCACCAAGATCACGAAGGCGAAGTGACTGGTGAGTGACTGGGTGCGTGGGTGAGTGAGTGACTGGGTGAGTGACTGGGTGAGTGAGTGACTGACTGAGTGACTGAGTGAGTGACTGGGTGACTGAGTGAGTGACTGAGTGACTGGGTGAGTGAGTGACTGAGTCACCTTGACTGAGTATTTCTTCCTGGCTAGCGTGACGTTGAGTGACAGGTACATCAGCATGACCCAGCTGTAGACAATCACCAAGATCACGAAGGCGAAGTGACTGGTGAGTGACTGGGTGAGTGAGTGACTGAGTGACTGGGTGAGTGACTGGGTGACTGAGTGAGTGACTGAGTCACCTTGACTGAGTATTTCTTCCTGGCTAGCGTGACGTTGAGTGACAGGTACATCAGCATGACCCAGCTGTAGACAATCACCAAGATCACGAAGGCGAAGTGACTGGTGAGTGACTGGGTGAGTGGGTGAGTGAGTGACTGAGTGAGTGACTGGGTGAGTGGGTGAGTGAGTGACTGAGTGACTGAGTGAGTCACCTTGACTGAGTATTTCTTCCTGGCTAGCGTGACGTTGAGTGACAGGTACATCAGCATGACCCAGCTGTAGACAATCACCAAGATCACGAAGGCGAAGTGACTGGTGAGTGACTGGGTGAGTGGGTGAGTGACTGGGTGAGTGACTGAGTGAGTGACTGGGTGAGTGACTGAGTGACTGGGTGAAGTGACTGAGTGACTGAGTGACTGACTGAGTGAGTGACTGAGTGAGTCACCTTGACTGAGTATTTCTTCCTGGCTAGCGTGACGTTGAGTGACAGGTACATCAGCATGACCCAGCTGTAGACAATCACCAAGATCACGAAGGCGAAGTGACTGGTGAGTGACTGGGTGAGTGGGTGAGTGAGTGGGTGAGTGACTGAGTGACTGAGTGACTGGGTGAGTGACTGAGTGAGTGACTGAGTGAGTGACTGACTGGGTGAGTGACTGAGTGGGTGAGTGACTGAGTGAGTGACTGAGTGAGTGAGTGACTGGGTGAGTGAGTGACTGAGTGACTGGGTGAGTGACTGGGTGAGTGACTGACTGAGTGAGTGACTGAGTGAGTCACCTTGACTGAGTATTTCTTCCTGGCTAGCGTGACGTTGAGTGACAGGTACATCAGCATGACCCAGCTGTAGACAATCACCAAGATCACGAAGGCGAAGTGACTGGTGAGTGACTGGGTGAGTGGGTGACTGACTGGGTGAGTGACTGAGTGAGTGACTGGGTGAGTGACTGAGTGACTGGGTGAAGTGACTGAGTGACTGAGTGACTGACTGAGTGAGTGACTGAGTGAGTCACCTTGACTGAGTATTTCTTCCTGGCTAGCGTGACGTTGAGTGACAGGTACATCAGCATGACCCAGCTGTAGACAATCACCAAGATCACGAAGGCGAAGTGACTGGTGAGTGACTGGGTGAGTGGGTGAGTGACTGAGTGACTGGGTGAGTGACTGAGTGAGTGACTGAGTGAGTGACTGACTGGGTGAGTGACTGAGTGAGTGAGTGACTGAGTGAGTGAGTGACTGGGTGAGTGACTGGGTGAGTGACTGGGTGAGTGAGTGACTGGGTGAGTGACTGGGTGAGTGACTGACTGAGTGAGTGACTGAGTGAGTCACCTTGACTGAGTATTTCTTCCTGGCTAGCGTGACGTTGAGTGACAGGTACATCAGCATGACCCAGCTGTAGACAATCACCAAGATCACGAAGGCGAAGTGACTGGTGAGTGACTGGGTGACTGAGTGACTGAGTGAGTGACTGAGTGAGTCACCTTGACTGAGTATTTCTTCCTGGCTAGCGTGACGTTGAGTGACAGGTACATCAGCATGACCCAGCTGTAGACAATCACCAAGATCACGAAGGCGAAGTGACTGGTGAGTGACTGGGTGAGTGGGTGAGTGACTGAGTGACTGAGTGAGTGACGGAGTGACTGGGTGAGTGACTGAGTGAGTGACTGGGTGAGTGACTGAGTCACCTTGACTGAGTATTTCTTCCTGGCTAGCGTGACGTTGAGTGACAGGTACATCAGCATGACCCAGCTGTAGACAATCACCAAGATCACGAAGGCGAAGTGACTGGTGAGTGACTGGGTGAGTGAGTGACTGAGTGACTGAGTGAGTGACTGAGTGAGTGACTGGGTGACTGAGTGACTGGTGAGTGACTGGGTGAGTGGGTGAGTGAGTGACTGGGTGAGTGACTGGGTGACTGAGTGACTGGTGAGTGACTGGGTGAGTGGGTGACTGAGTGAGTGACTGAGTGACTGAGTGAGTGACTGAGTGAGTGGGTGAGTGACTGAGTGAGTGACTGACTGAGTGACTGAGTGAGTGACTGAGTGAGTCACCTTGACTGAGTATTTCTTCCTGGCTAGCGTGACGTTGAGTGACAGGTACATCAGCATGACCCAGCTGTAGACAATCACCAAGATCACGAAGGCGAAGTGACTGGTGAGTGACTGGGTGAGTGGGTGAGTGAGTGGGTGAGTGACTGAGTGACTGAGTGACTGGGTGAGTGACTGAGTGAGTGACTGAGTGACTGACTGGGTGAGTGACTGAGTGAGTGAGTGACTGAGTGAGTGAGTGACTGGGTGAGTGACTGGGTGAGTGACTGGGTGACTGGTGAGTGACTGGGTGAGTGAGTGACTGGGTGAGTGAGTGAGTGAGTGACTGAGTGAGTGAGTGACTGAGTCACCTTGACTGAGTATTTCTTCCTGGCTAGCGTGACGTTGAGTGACAGGTACATCAGCATGACCCAGCTGTAGACAATCACCAAGATCACGAAGGCGAAGTGACTGGTGAGTGACTGGGTGAGTGAGTGACTGAGTGACTGGGTGAGTGACTGGGTGACTGAGTGAGTGACTGAGTCACCTTGACTGAGTATTTCTTCCTGGCTAGCGTGACGTTGAGTGACAGGTACATCAGCATGACCCAGCTGTAGACAATCACCAAGATCACGAAGGCGAAGTGACTGGTGAGTGACTGGGTGAGTGGGTGACTGAGTGACTGGGTGAGTGACTGAGTGACTGAGTGGGTGAGTGACTGAGTGAGTGACTGAGTGAGTGACTGAGTGACTGGGTGAGTGAGTGACTGGGTGAGTGAGTGACTGGGTGAGTGACTGAGTGAGTGACTGGGTGACTGAGAGACTGGGTGAGTGACTGGGTGATTGAGTGACTGAATGAGTGAGTGACTGAGTGAGTGACTGGGTGAGTGAGTGACTGGGTGAGTGAGTGACTGAGTGACTGAGTGAGTGACTGACTGAGTGACTGAGTGAGTGACTGAGTCACCTTGACTGAGTATTTCTTCCTGGCTAGCGTGACGTTGAGTGACAGGTACATCAGCATGACCCAGCTGTAGACAATCACCAAGATCACGAAGGCGAAGTGACTGGTGAGTGACTGGGTGAGTGGGTGAGTGAGTGGGTGAGTGACTGAGTGACTGGGTGAGTGACTGAGTGAGTGACTGAGTGACTGACTGGGTGAGTGACTGAGTGAGTGACTGAGTGAGTGAGTGACTGGGTGAGTGACTGGGTGAGTGACTGGGTGAGTGACTGACTGAGTGAGTGACTGAGTGAGTCACCTTGACTGAGTATTTCTTCCTGGCTAGCGTGACGTTGAGTGACAGGTACATCAGCATGACCCAGCTGTAGACAATCACCAAGATCACGAAGGCGAAGTGACTGGTGAGTGACTGGGTGAGTGGGTGAGTGACTGAGTGAGTGAGTGACTGGTTGAGTGACTGAGTGAGTGACTGGGTGACTGAGTGACTGGTGAGTGACTGGGTGAGTGGGTGAGTGAGTGACTGGGTGAGTGACTGGGTGACTGAGTGACTGGTGAGTGACTGGGTGAGTGGGTGACTGAGTGAGTGACTGAGTGAGTGAGTGACTGAGTGAGTGGGTGAGTGACTGAGTGAGTGACTGACTGAGTGACTGAGTGAGTGACTGAGTGAGTCACCTTGACTGAGTATTTCTTCCTGGCTAGCGTGACGTTGAGTGACAGGTACATCAGCATGACCCAGCTGTAGACAATCACCAAGATCACGAAGGCGAAGTGACTGGTGAGTGACTGGGTGAGTGGGTGAGTGAGTGGGTGAGTGACTGAGTGACTGGGTGAGTG